AATGCACAGGCACTTCCAATACAGGACAAGTTCGGGAAACAGTCTCTGAAAATGTTACTATTGCTGTGATTATCCGTTTGGTTGCTACAGTAGCCAGCAATGAATTACAGGAAATGCATAACTAACAGTACTATATAATACCACAAAACACAATGTGCCGGTCAGTTGTAGCTGACAAAGAAAGCTGACTTTAAAACTAATCACGGAAGGCATGCATCTACAAGAGTCTTTTTTGCAATGCTAATGTATTTCTTACAAACCGGGTGTTTCATAATAAAAAACTGAACTTCGGGTAAACAGCTAATTACAGAGCTAAAATATATATAAAGGGGAGCTGTTTTAACTGTCAAAGGATATGTATTTCTGTCCATTCTGACCTAAAATTTACATGGCCTGCCAGACTGTACAGGCAGGCCGGTGACCAGATCTTACTCTGGTGCAATAAAGTGACTGAACAGTAGCAGTTTTTCCCTCTGCTCTTTCCTCCTGTTAGCATGTTCCTTGTCAGAACATGTTCTTGCAGCAAAGCATGATTGGCTCCTAGTTCTGCTACTCCCTCTCCCAGTATGAGTGTTGCTGTACAGGGCATTACAAAAGGCTGTACGTTGCTTTAAAAAATACATGTATTATTTGACATAACTGCATTATTTTTAGGTTTTTTTTTTGTATCTTTATGAAGGTTAGCTTTAAGGGGCATCAAAATGAGTTATGTATATAACACTCAGTTATCTCTACCTAACAATCTCTTTCAGGGGTGTGGAAATGTAAAAAAAAAACTACTTGCCCGAGGACTAAAGCAGGGGCCCGATCTACTTGTCCCTCATGGTAATCTACTTTGTCCTGATACAAAAAAAGATTTTTTTTAACCAAAACCGTATTTAGCATTGCCAAGAAGAGCTTCTCATTGGTCAGTGCAGTCAGGTGACTGCGCTGACCAATGAGTGCTTGCATTTTGCAAGCGAAATTCAGAATACATGGCACAGGTACAGATAGTACACCCATACTGGCGGATGGCAAGGACTGTTCGATGAAAGGTAAGTATAGCAGGGAAGGAGAGGGGACCAAATTTGTGCAGGTAATTCAATTTTCCAAAATTACTTGGGAAAGTGAATTTACCCTTTGGGGCGGGTGCAGACTTGGGCAACCGTTTGCGGTTGCCACGCGGCCCCATTGATTTGAATGGGGTTACATCTGTGAGATAATCGCTGAAAAAAGGTACATGTACCTTTTTTCATGACACACATCATGTCGTGTTTTCAACTGCGATTCTGTGCGATTGCACGACCGGTATTGTGGCGGGAAACTACACAATCTGCCTGGCACGACTGGGGTGCCACTAGACAATAATGGCACTGCCAGTGCGATCGGCGGCGGTGTGCGATTCTGTGACCGCCCGGCCATCCACATGGTTTCGTGCATGATTGCTGTGCGGTAATGGAGCACGCGCACACACGCAATGCCCCATGCATGCGTTTATTCGCATGCAGATGATAGGGGTTGGTTTTAATTTTTTAGAGTTTATTTTTACTTTATTTTACTTATTTTTTATTATCATTTATTTTTATTATTTTTTACTTTATCGCCTTTTTATTGTTTCCATTTTTATGTATTTACATTTTATATTTTAGTTTTTTTCCACTTGACTTTATTGCTATCACATAAGGGGTAACAAGCCCCTGTGTGATAGTTTTTGGAGGTGACCCTGTCATCTCCAACAGAGGCGTTCTAGCACAGCACTGTGCTCGTGACAGGAAGGTTGCATTCCTGTGTCTCTATTCACACGGAGCAGAGCAGAGAAGCGTTCTCTGCTCTGTGCTCTCTAACCTTACTTACCGTAGTCATGGATCCCCCACAAGAGGGGGGGCCCCCGAAGACCACGGCAGAAAGGAAGCCCACGTGCAGAGAGAGAGGCAGCCGGGAGCAGTACATGCCGGCCAGCCGCTGGAGATAGAGAGAGGGGAGGGGGTTAGGAGGAGAGGGGGTTAGGAGGAGAGGGGAGGCAGAGAGGGGAGGGGGAGCATGATTCAGGCAAGTTACAAGTGATTTTGGACTAAAAATCACTACTCGCCGGCGCCCGAACTGCCTGTCCCGGGCATCAGGCGATAGGAATTCCACACCCCTGTCTTTGCAATGCTTATAGCATATGAATGCATGACACTTTCCAAGACACAAATAGTACCATGAAATATCATAATTGTCACACCAATACCCATGATTAAGTCACCCTATTAAATTAATAGGCAGTGACCTGGAAGAAGAAAAATGAATTAGGATAATTATAGGTATTGAATAGTAGCCGTTGTTTAGGTGGTGATCCAACTGCCAAAGCATGCTTTCATTAGTCATACATGGAGATGTACACTTCATGTCGACTAAACCCTATGGCTTTGATATACTTATCTCTGCACGGACATATGATAACAGAAGAGTTATGGCTCAAAGTGTATAACCTAACTAGAACCTTTACTTACAATGAGGGTTCCCCTTGGGTTTATGCTGCGCAGGTCTGTCTTTCTCTAAGCAACTCTATAAGGGTTTGTTACTTGCCATATCAGCCTTTGGTGTTCCAAAGGTCCAACAAACAATGAGGGCTGGGTTCACACCTGAGCATATTTTTTCTGCTTGTTTTTCAGCTGTTTTTTTTCACGTTTTTTTTAGCACGTTTTTCCGTTCAGTGAAACGCGTGTTTCACTGGCGGTATGATTTTTCCCCCCCTTATTTTCTCTATTTAAAAAAAAAATTAACTTTCAAACTTCCCGCCGGCTCTGCCCCACTGCGACGCGGCCGCTCACAAGGGACAGAACCCGGAAGTCGGCAGCTGCCGGAGGACACAGCGGGGATCGCGGACAAGGTAAGACCTGTACGCTGTATTCCGAGTGTGGCTCGGGGTTACCGCTTTGTTAACCCCGATCCACACTCGGGAATACCAATGGAAACGCGCGGAAAAACGCCCCAAAGAAGCTCCTGTACTTCTTTGGGCATAGGGCGTTTTTCAGCATGTTCCTAAGCGCTGAAATACACCCAGGTGGGAACCATGCCCATAGGCAATTATTGGTTTTCACATGTTGAGCGTTTTACAGAGTGTAGGAACGTGCTGTAAAACGCCCAGGTGTGAACCAGGCCTTAGGCCTAAATAGTTATTGCCTTGGTTGCTCAAGACTAATATAAGTCTAGCTTATGGCAGTTGTCCTTGGTTTATAACAGGTAAGATATAGCTTCATAATTAGGTATTCACAAATTCATAAATAATTCAGAAACACTATTTATTGTAGGAATAAAATAATACACTAAAAAAGTTTGTGTTTGTGTTTTGTTATTAAAGCCCAACATCATACAATTGATTTAGACTTCAACAGAAATAATAAATACTTCTATCAATTATGTATTGATGTCCTTGACTATTGGGGACACTCCATGTCCTCCTAATGGCCTGTGACAGAAGGACAACAATTCCACTGGAGAAATTTCCCATCACTTCCTGTCCCAAAAAAAAGTGAGGGGAAATGTCTCCAAAGGAGACACAGACCTCATAGGGGTTCTAAGCCTTCCTTTCTGTGTACAACATGTAAAAAGGTGTTTCTGGAGTTGGGCTGTAATAAAAAAATCAACTAAAGCATCTCTTATTAAATTACATTACAACTTCAGCAGCAGAAAATACAGGATCAAGCATATTTGGTATTTAAACTGAAAACTGAGGTCGCTTTACAAGACATTGTTTTAATTTGTTCTAATTCATTTGCTTTATAAGGGAGGTAGCCAATGTGAAAATAAATAGGAATTCAAACTTTTCTATAAATTTTAGGTCTGAAACCCATCTATGCAGATCCTATAGCCATGCATTTTCAAACTACTGATAACTGAACATATTACAGTTTAATAAATTAACTTTAAATTATTAACACATCAGATTTCTATACTTCAAGGGATCCTTCAGCATAAATAATACACTAAAATAATTACAATGCAAAAAACAAATCTTGAAATGTAATAGAATGTTGTTGTCCCTTAGAAGTACCCTTTTCATTATACCATTTGAATAACCAATATAATTCATTGCAAGAGTATCACACTTATTTAATACAATGGTAAATGCTCTGGGCCTTTAATTAGTTATAATGTATAATGAACAATGATGCCCAGTAACCTGCAGTAACCAGTTAGGGTTTCAGGTTTCTGCACTTTGCTGTAGGCAATATTGTACATAACATCTGATTAGTGATGATGGATTACAGCAAAGTTTCAACAATTGCAACTTTATGTAGACAAAACACAGAACAATTATACGCAGCAGTTCTAAGCAACTAAATTGATTTTGGGTTTCTGCAGGCTAATGTGACATAACCAATGGACAATTTGTGACTGGTTGCTGTGGGCTACTGAATTTTCACATTGCTGAAATAATGCAATCTGCATTATTATCCCTTTTGTGAATATCCAGTTTATACTTATAGTTTCCATTTGTGTTGTTTTTTTTTTTTTTGTTTTTTTTTTACTTGTTAGCCATTATTTCCAAAAAATATTGTGGATTAGATAAAGAAATGTGCAGTACAGCAAAATGGATACGAATTTGGAAAACACATTTGAAATAATTTTAATCAAAATGTTCCAGTCAGTTTTGGTTCAGTGAGTTATACCATAGCAACAATCGTCATTCTGGCAAAAACCCTAATGGCTTTAATGTAATACTGACTAATCTCTTGTCTTTCTGCAATATTCAATATATCTTGTAGACATTATATATGTACCAGGCTTGATTAGTACTTGTTTAAATTAATACTATGGAAAATAACCTTTATGCAAATATAAAACTTAAAATCCAATTTTTTAAATTAACATGTTTTCACAAAACACTTGTGTACCAAAAAGATTTTGTTCCAAATCTTCACAAAGTGCATCACATTCTTAAGTAAAGGCAGTGAAGACTAAAACAATATTTTTTTAAATGTACCGCTTTATAAAGCACATAGGTATGGAGATCCAAGAGGTGAAAAGGCAGAAGATTTGGAAATGAATGGCTGAATCAATTAATGCTACGGTGTGATATGAATTTTCAAAGATGGTAAAATCCACTTCCAAGAGACATAATATAAAAAGCTGAAGTTGCGGTACATGAGTGGATTTCCACCAGCGACTTTCTTTTTGCCGGTAGAGGTAGAATCCAGTAAATGTATGATGAAAATAGTAGACACTACAATAACTGCGCTTCAATGCGTAACCAGTGAAGTCCTTGTCGAACATAGCGGACCAAGTCGGTCATTGTACTGTGTTGTGTTAACGGTTCCATTACCATATCAAGGTCACAAAAGAATTCTGTAATGACAAAAAAGTTACCAAAAATGGTTTTAATAAAACAGATACATATAATAATGCAGGAATGTAGTCACTTAAAGACCGGGGTGTCTCTTTACGGAGACATCAGGGGTATATAAGATCCCTAATGTTACCTAGGGACCCCCAAAGAAGCTGATGACAGCTGAAGGCAGAAGTGATGTAATACACTTCTGCATTCAGTGATCAGTGGGGAGATTAGCGGGAGGAAGTGGGCTGTATGGCTTGTATGTAAACAGCCATGATGGCTGTTTAAATTACAGTCAGTTTCCGTTCAGCTTAGCCCAAGGTAAGTATACATATCTTAGACCAGGCAGGGACATGAGGATCCTATAAAACACCGTAGTAGCTGGAGCTTCTACAGTGCTTTACAGCAGTCTTCCCATTATGGTGCTACACTATGCTGAGCAACTTCCCTTCTGTCGTGAAATCACAGCGGGTCACTGGCTCAGCACAGCCGTCATTAACTGAACAACTACAATGTTATTCACAAAAGGGTGAAGAGTTTAGAGAAGGCAGAAGAAGTGGACAATCTAGGCCAAAATAGCTGAACTGCAAAGTGAGCTGAATTGGAGAATTTTTCCAAATCAGCTATTTTGGCCTAGATTGTTCACTTCTCCTGCCTTCTCCAAACTCTTCACCCTTCTGTGAATAACCCTGCTTGTATCTTTATCAATGAATACTAGACATTCTTTGATTTGACGAAGGGTGGACTGTGACATCAGTGCCCCTCGTCCAGCTTTATCGGTTACATCAGTTTGAAAATGCTAAATTTAAGTGAATGCAATATATATGTATTGCTACTTTTCCTATGTTTTTGATGTGTAATTTAGAGGAAAGGGGCTGGTTATTCTGTGACAGATGAGTGGTTTCCTGTCTACTTATGATAAATGTGCTGAAAAACAAAACAGATGGGTCTCTACAAACAATGCATTTATTCTTTATTGTTTCCCTCAGTTGTTTTAGTATATAACAACTGTATTTTATTTTCATTACATGATACACTGATTACAAAGAGAGAATTGGTGGAATATCATTATTTTTTTATACAGAGTATGCATAAGTAATTCCTTGTTACCAACTAGCTGATGTAACCATCCAAAATATCAAAGCAGAAATTAACCAACAGGATTTTTCTTCCTTACCTATGGCAATCTAATTAATAATAGCACCAATCCAAGAGGACAAAGCATGTTAACCTAAAGTCAACAATTTGTTATCCATAAAGGTGTCTAACTCAGTCTAACTGGTTGATTTACACATAGACTGTTCACTTTGCAAGGGCATTTTCCCTTATTTTAGTGAATGAGGTATGTGCAAGCAAAAATAAAAACATTTAAAATTTGCCTTGCATATCAGGTATCAGGTCAGGTATTCTTTGGAATGTGAATTTTCACTAAATTCACCAAGCTTAAATAAAATGTCCTTGCAAATTGCAAAGTCCCTTGCAAAGTGAACTTATCTGCCTTTAGTAAATTGACCCCTAAGAGTTAATGTTCTTATAAGGAACAGTATTAAATATGGTAATGCAATGGCCACTTGACAGATTAAACAATCATTCTGGGTAGCAGCACATCAGACTGAACTGGATGGAATGCCACAGGTTGGCTACTCAAGTGATTTTATCACAGTTTTTGCTGTTGAAGAAACTATTTCTGCCTTTTTTTGCAGTCATTTGATGTATCTACACTGAGGTCATTTTTCATCATGCCTAATATTCTTTTTTACTGATTTAAACAAATTATTATAATATAGCTTTTGGCATCAGAATGTCTTTTCTTGGACCAGCAATATGGTTCTAAAAACGTTTTGTTTAGTGCAAAATAACATTTGTCCTCCTCGAGTTTTGACAGGTCCATACTTTTTAATGCCTCCGCCACCATCTTATCCGCTGCTTCTTTTGCATGTCGTACTTCTTTGCCTGTTGGGCACCCACAGATGACGTAACTCAAGCGCTGGAGTTACATTGTCCTCTCACCCAGCTTTATTATCTGCGTCTTTCAAATTCTGGGAGTGAAGTAGGAGTGTACACTGCAGTGCACATGTACCATGGGCAGTGTACACAAAGAAGAAAAAACTGCTGGGAGAAAGGGGAAAGTATTTTGGCAACAGTATCTTCTGCCAAAAAGCTCAACCTCCTAGCATTTTTTTAATGTTTAGTTCTGCTTTAAACTTCCATCTACTCTTCCCCATTCTATTTAACACTAAAATAAGTTTTGGCAGAAGTTGTGCCTATGTAATGTAAAGTTTATTAGCAAGTGTAAATAAATCTAACAATACTTTAGTTCATAAATCTACTAAAAATGGGCATCTATATCTCTGTAACAACTTCATCAGTGCACACTCTTTGGATTTAGGACCCAGACAGTGAAACAAAAATGTTACCGGGTGCTTTTCTTTTACTGTAATGTTATATTTTAATTAATTTCAAGCTAGATATTTAGCACTATAACACACTGTGCTAATTGCTAGATTCATAATATTTCATTTTAACATCAAAACACCCTACTGCTGAAATGCTTCTAGATTTACATGGGAATTTTAACAATTCTGCATAATGCCTATAATTATGTCATTAAGAAGATGTAATTTTAGATTAAGCGAGTTTGTACTTTTTTTTTTCTAAATAGTTATTAATGAAGACAAATATAATTATTACTTTGAATGAGAGGAGTACCGATGTGTTGAATACATAGCAAAATATTGATAAACCTGTAATCCATTCCTCTCCTGTAATTACTGCCAGTTGAGACATTATGCTGTCTGGTTTGGAGCCTTTACAATTCTTGCCCACAAATTTAAAAATGCACCTGGGTGAGCATCAAGTATTGCCAATTGACAAGAATGGATTATTGTTATTTTCTAAATAGTGTATATAATTCTGTTAAAGGAAAACTATTGTCTGGCCCATGTATGAATTGCCATTCCTACAACAATACACTTCCCAAACACTTCCTCCCAATGTACGAAGTGGTGATGTAGCGGTTTGCCCTTTCATACATGAGGCCAAGTTTATTCTTAGTGCGTATGTTAATAGTTATCATTGTACTGTTTGCCTGAAAGTAATAATTGATGTGACATTCTTTTTACAGGCTTGTGCTTTTTATTTTATAAACAGATCTGAAGGAAGTGTTCTTCCATCAAGTACCACGTGTCAGTGAGTGTGATCAGAATCTCTGCTGAACACTCACTGCAATAAAATCATTAAGGGCCCTTTCACATCAGAGAGATCCATTCATGCTTTTGCATTAAGACAGCCCATTCATTTAAATGGGCTACCTAATCTGGCACAATAGACCCAAAATCACATCTGCAGCATTTTTGCTAGAGCACTGCATGGTAGTGGGTTACTGCACAGTGCTGTATGATGCAACTTAGGTGCACTGAGGTGCCATTTACAATGAATGACATTGCAGTGCACAAACACTCAACCTGCATTCCTGTATATTGAAGTAACTTGGACATTACAGCAGTGCAGTAGTGTAAATGGGCCCTTAGAGAATCTATTTGCAATCAGTCTCCTATGTATTTATATTAAAGTCAATGCAAACTGCAACAATAAGCTACTCTTATTTGCTTCCTTTTGGTCTGTGAAATAATAGTTTAAAGTGTTCTGTTATATCTGTTCTATAAGTGCACAAAATGCCTGTTGATTCTGCCAGTAACCCATTGAGCTGATAACTTTTTGTTCTCTGCTGACTTATTGCTAGCATAGTTATCAGTTTTCTATGTAGACTACTGAACACCTTCTCCTATGTTATGGAGGAGAGGAAATGGGGAAGTGTTCTGTAGACCTCAAATACTTCCTGATCTAGAGTGATGATGCTTCATACATATAGTACAGTGAGCAAGCATTGTCACCCTAGGGCAGGAAGTGTGTTGCATGCATGATCACAGGTAAACATTAAGGAAAAGATGCCTAAAAAACAAAAACTTTGGCAGCAACCACATCTAAGGACTGGTAAGATGCAATATATTATTTCTTGGGTTTACATTCTTATTAAATTCTTGGGTTTAGATATGCTTTGACAGCTGGATAGATAGATAGATAGATAGATAGATAGATAGATAGATAGATAGATAGATAGATAGATAGATAGATAGGGTTTCTTTTTCATTCATACCCTAAAACGGTCTGCAAACAGCAGGCTTCTCAGATATTACAATTTGCAGGGAAAAAACAAAATAAAAAATATATACATATTTTTACAAACACATTTGAACATGTTTTATAGGTTAACCTGATCACAGTACACCAAAAATAAAAGTGTGTTTGACGCACCTTTATTTTCCCTTGCAAGCTTGTCAGCCATGTCCCAGTGTTCATAACTACGCAATACATTGTTGGTGATATTTACATGACTGGCAGCCATGTGATGAATACGCTGTGGAATAGACACTGTGCCTGTAGAAGAGGAGCCTGGGGCCACAATGCTGTTCACAGCAGATCCTGCTGGAGATGGGCTCAGTGACATTGGAGAAGGGATCTCTGTATTCCTGAAATAAAGTAAGTTCATGCGTTCAGGTTTGTTAAAACATAGTCATTTAACACAAACAATGAATACAACGTTTTGTGATATAGGAGAACATAGCAATGAATTTGGGAATCTGGCGCTGGAAGTCTCTTGGTGTAGGATTGCCGGTGCTGAGAACAAAATGTCTGCAGCCTCAATTAAAAAGTAGAATATTCCCTGTAACATTTAATTCTCTCCTAAATGAAATTTAGCACCTAACCCTTAAAGCCACACACACCAAGGATTACCTTCTCTATTTGTCCTGGTACACCATTACTGCAAGTAAACATGAAAGAAAATCCCACATTTTGGGTGGTCACCAGAACAGGAATAGACAGTAAATCTTCCTGCAGATACACTAGTTCTGGCAACTCCCTGACCACCAGGGATTTCCCTCAATTTGGAGGGCTTCCCTCTCACTTCCTGTTGTGGTTATCAGACAAGAAGAAAAGGGAAATCTCCTCAATGGGACACAGATGACAAAAACATGACAGCGGTTATAATCCTTCCTTACACTATCCAAAACTAAAAAAAGTCTTGGTTTCAGTTCTACTTTAATATTCTAAATATTAATATAATAACTTAACTGCATTCTCTTCTTCCACCAACAAACCATTTTGGAACAATTTACTTCTGAAAACGTATAATGACGGTGAAGTGCCCCCCAACATCTCTACAGCAATAGCTTTTTCTAGCATCCATGCAGGTAACCAAATGAACATGAAATAATTTCTCTTGTTTTTTTTAAAATAAAATCTGAACCACAGCAAACATTTACAATGGATTCCAGCAAGGTGGCTCTATTCAATAATCCTATAAAAAAGCTGTTGATTTCTCTTTATATTCTATGGCTGTTTATAGATGATTCACATACTGAAAGCTTTTGCTTTTTATTTTTAATCACAGTTGTTAAAGGTGAAATAAAAAAAAAACATAATCATCCCTCCCTGAGGGGTTATTTTTCTCCCTTATTCTGCTTGTTCTATGTTTAAAGTGAGACAACACAAGACCTCTGGATTTCTGATAGTTATTATGAATTTCTACCCGCTGCCAAATTTTATCAGTGCTACTGGTAGCCAGGAAAAAAAGAACCTCAACAGATAATACAAAGGCTGTTATTTTAGCGTTTTGGGAAAACCACAATGGCAATTTCCTCCAGACACAGCCAGCATGATCGTCAGCGTGCAGCTCATAAAAGGCCCCTGTTGCGTCTTATTGTCAGCAAAAGCAAGTAAGAATTATGAACATTTCTATACAATTTCTTTGGAAATGGTATAGGAAATTGTTTGTAATTACAGATGAGTCTTTCCATAGCATTTAGAAAAAAAATAAAAATAAAATGAAAGGCATGTATTTGGTGCAGAACTAATACTGATTAGAGAGGCACTTAATTCCATACGAGGTGATTAGCAATCACCTGGTGCCAGAAACCCGCTGGATATTAACAGGCCTTCGCTCTTATACACATAGACAGCGGGATGTCAGCAGTGTAGAAACTGCTTCTGAATTATACTTGATAATCCAACTCCCTGAAGAAAGCCAAGGCGCTCTCTGTGTCTCACTTTTCTGCTGCAGCGGAACGGTTCAAGCCAGTTTTTAATCTATGCTCATATTTGCCATATGTATTCAATTGCTTGTAACTTGAAACTGATGAAAAATCTTCTAGTAAGATCAGATTGTCTTTAATATGGCATACTCTATTGCAATGTAGTAAAAAAAAAAGTGTTAGCATGCCCTCATCAAATATGTTATAGTTGCCACTTTTGAAAATAGCAAAGACTAGATAAAATCCACAAAGGGATACAGAAGTTATTTGTTGTCACCTTTTACGTGGCATTATATATATATATAGTATTTATTTTTTTATAAGGCAAACTGTATCACATATCTAACAGGAAAATTAGGCCAAGCAGCTAAGTACACCATTAAGACACATACATAGGAAATACTGTAACTATCAAGAGACCTGTAAAATAACACACATATACTCTTGTAATTCCCTCACCTTTGCTGTACTATATGGTTACACGGAATAAACTGGACAAAAACAGTTTTCAGATGCTGCAAATCTGTACATTTGCTCCACTTGTATTCTCATCAGATACCTTTAGACAACTGCTGAACATTCCCAACTGCTTATGTAAATCTGGACTTTCTCTCTCAGCGTAAACTCATCTAATTACCTCCCTATCCTATTCTGCACTCAGTATGCAGACCAGGCACTCCAACCTGATTTGCACTTTCATCTTAGTGGGGACTCACTATGGATAGAATGACACTAGTGGGACTAAAAAATGAAGAAAAAAAATGGTTTTCTTAAACATTTTTATCAGAATTGTTCTTTGTAACCCAGCAAGCTTTATGTTCCAAGTCTGTATGACTTTCCATTCCATTTCTATAGCTAGGTTGCACAGGCTTGTGCTTTAAAGATATCATCAGGCCTTGCTGTGTGGTTAATGTAGTTAATGAATGATATGCAGTGTATCCAATAACAGACAGCAAAAATAATTCCCATATATCTCAAGAAGTAGTACAATGATGCTGCCACATTCATTATTCAGCTACCTACATACCACGTAGCATAAAAGCTACGGAATTCTGGGGTCAAGGGTCATATTCAGACACTCTATGGGGCATGAAGTGTAGGGTAGGGTAGAGAGAGGCATATTGCTATCTCTGTCTCAGAAACTGAAGAGCAGATGAAACCTTGTAATCTCACAGTGGCAAAGTACTGGTTATCTCACCTAACACCAGAAGCAGGCAACTTCTAGCATGCTGTGTACTTAGCATAACCCCACAGTTCTACAGTGACCCCCTCTATTCAGGAGGCATTTTGAATAGCTTGCATCAATATGCAAATGCAATATGAACATTAATATCAGTAAGAAAGGTTTAAAGAATGGCAATGTCACTTACAGTAAAGCTGCATACTTTCAGTCTCACTGTCTTATATAGCTGGTATGCTCTTAAATTAAAACAAGTCACATTAAGGAGAAACTGCTAGCAGGTATAAAAAGAAGAGCTGCTATAATATACACCTGAATGTCGGGTTGTTTTTAACTGGTAAAGTTCCTTCACTTCCTTGTAGTAAGGAAATTTGCCCACCCCCTCCCACACATTCTGGATGACCAAGGAGACAACCCATGGAGATTGGTCAAAGGGGATACAGAGGGTCAGAAAGAAGAAGCAAGCTCTAATGCAACCCAGAAGTGTTGGACAATTAACGTAGCTGTAGGAATGTCTAAGCACCGCACGGTGCAAATACTTTATACTTGTTGCCACTTTCACTTTCACTTCAGGTTTATAATATACTTAATTGGTCTTCTTTTTAAAATGTTTTTAACATCACTGCTCATACAACAGAGAAAACAAATAATGTAACAACTTTATACTTGTTTATTAGCGTCAATTAATTATTCAACAATGGATATTAGGGCACTTTCCAATATAACTGGACGAGAATTTAGCTAGTCCTAGTTGAGCTTCCTTGTCTTCATTGCATTGATTGCAATAATTGCATTCTATTAATTTTGCATAATATTTTCATACATGGGTTTATCATCATTAAAATAAAAATGGATTCATTTGATAACTGGCTGATTAAACATCTTCAAATTTTAACCACAATTTAAGTTTAGTTTTATTCCATAGTACTGGCTGTATATCAATGAATTATTCATTGGTCTTTCATTACAGAACCAATCGCTGAAAAATCACTGCTAACACGGAGGTTAACTTTACTTTGACTTTCTGAAATGACACAGTACTTGCTATCTAATTAACAGTGGTTTTATGACTATCATTTGGTTTAAGGACCAAATTGTTCGAGAATTCTAAAGCAACCCTGCATTAACTTTTCAGACATTTTGGGTGGTTGACTTTGACTTTCTGATATATTTGCCTATAACCTGAGAGCTGACCTTCATTCCTCCACCATCAATGTTGTATTTTACTCAGTAATAATTCAGTTTTATGAACGACCACTTAGAAGGAAATAAATCCACTTACTTTCCATTGCCTCCCCATGGAGATGGTGCTTGTGAAGATTTGGACGAGTTCTGTATGAAATTAAATTAAAGGTTAAGCAATAAATGCTAATTTTCATTGTCGCTTGATCTTACAATTATGTAATAGTGTAATTACAGGAATACAAACTGCATACAGCCACCAAACAATGAGAATAGAAGAATGCAGGGTATTCTGCAGTTTTACCTTGATCAAATTTTTTTATTTTTTGGATCAGGTCCCTGAGCTCAATGTAAAGAGCTCACTACCTCACAAAATGACTTTTAATGAGACACTTTTCCCACTTTGCCTATGTTTCTTGGTGCACTGGGGTCCAACCAGTAAAATGCAGTGTTTCCAACAGATGAACACCATATTTTATAGTGGCTAGACAAAGCAAAAAGAAACAACATACATACCTCAAAGCAAACACTATATAATGTCCAGAAAATGGATGCTTTACACCTTCAACCACCACATTACCCATGTAACCCTATATATTTCATTAGCCAGCACTGTTTTAAGCCTCCAACCATCACATTATTCATGTGACCCTATGTATTTCATTAGCAGCAGCACATATTTTGTTTTAATCAAAAGCCATAGTTTAACTGCCCCCTGACCTAATGGGCCCTAAGTTATATGTATTTTTAAGACTGTGGAAAGTATATATGTAAGCTTTTCTTGGACAAGGACTGGGGTGACTAGTATATACAGTACTGTGTAAAAGTTTTAGACAGGTGTGAAAAAATGCTGTACCATAAGAATGCTTTCAGAAATAAAAGTATTAATAATTTATATCAATGAACAAAATGGAAAGTAAATGAACAAAAGAGTAATGCAAATCAAATCAATATTTGGTGTGACCACCCTTTGCCTTCAAAACTGCATCAATTCTTCTAGGTACACTTGCACACAGTTTTTAAAGAAACTCAGCAGGTAGGTTCCAAACATCTTGGAAAACTAACCGCAGATCTTCTGTAGATGTAGGCTGCTTCAAATCCTTCTGCCTTTCATGTAATCCTAGACAGGCTCCATGATGTTGAGATCAAGGCTCTGTGGGGGCCAAACCATAATTTCCATTGTTTTTCTTTATGCTAAAGATAGTTCTTAATGACTTTGGCTGTATGTGTGGCGTTGTCGTCCTGCTGCAGAAAAAAATTGGGGCCGATCACACGACTCCCTGATGGCAGGGGCGGAACTACTGCCATAGCAGCCCATGCGGGCGCTATGGGGCCCGCACCAGAGGGGGGCCCGGTCAGGAGCAGGAGGGATGTTTAGGGTTCCTCAATTTCCATGCGGCCGCAAGTCAAACACTGCACGGTCGCATGGAACCTAAGGACACTAACCTGCAATCCTCTCCCCTGCCACAGTCACAGTGTAGAGCGGGGGAGGGCGGAGTTATCTCATGCCTGTGCTCGGCTCTAGGAGAAGCAGCGGAGTGCAAGTGTGATCTGGACTGCTGACAGGTAAGGGGGGTCGGGGACGGGGGGGACAGGGACGGAAACCTTTGTTCTCACATTCATTGACCTGCAGGAGCCATTAACACTGGCCGTGGCTAATTCATATGCTAATTACGGGATTTGCATAATAATGAGTTGCATAATAATCCCCTCATGCCTCATTAATATGCAAATCGCCCTTCCCACTCCAAGGCCACTTAATGAGGGGGGTGGGACAGGGGAGAGTCAGGTCCTAAAGTAGGGTTACGGCTTGTTCACACCGTATACAGTGCGTTTTTAGTGCGGTTAGCTGCTGGAACGCACTATCGCATAAAAACTCCCCTGTGCGTGCTGGAGCAGGAAGGGGTGTGGTAGTGCACTGAAGTCAATGGCACCCCCGCCACACCCCCCTGCCCGCAGTGGTACATTAGTGGCTTGTTGCGGTCCAGTGCGATCGGAAAAAATCAACACAGTGCGTTCCAGCAGCTAACCACACTGGAACGCACTGTATATGGTGTGAACAAGCCCTTAGAATTGTCCAGAAGAAGAGAGGTGAGATGCTGTGCATCCACACTGCCCACTCTTTGTACCCGCCCATTGTCACCCTCTCTGTGCACCCTCCCACACTGCCACCCACTCTGTGTACCCACCCACATTGCCCACCCACTCTTTGTACCCGCCCATTGTCACCCTCTCTGTGCACCCTCCCACACTGCCACCCACTCTGTGTACCCACCCACATTGCCCACCCACTCTTTGTACCCGCCCACTGTCACCCTCTCACACTCTCAGCCTCTGTGCACCCACCCACACTGACAACCACTCTGTGCAACCCACCCACACTGCCACCCACCAACATTGCCCACCCACTCTGTGTACTCACCCACTCCGCCACCCACACTGCACCCACTTTGTAACTCCACTTTTCCCAGCTTCACTGGTGTAACTGTTTTTTTTAGTTGTATTTACACTGCCAAGCCAAAGAAATGAGGGAAAGTGCGTTATATTGCACTGTGTAATCCTTATGTAGTGTGGCAGTGTAATTATAACTTAAAATAACACTGCCACACCAGTGAAGCCGGGGAAAGTGGGGTTACAAATGATGAACCCCTGTGGTATTTTAAGTTATAATTTGAACCCCCCTTGTGTAATTGTAAATCCCATTTTCCCAGCTTTATTGGTGGCTCTGTTAAAGAATTAGGCCTCGTTACACATGACTTTCTGGCATTTCTGCAGCAGAAACATACAGATTGTGTTGTGACAGGAATGTCAGGTGTCCCACTTAGATGTGGCTGCTGTACCCACTGAAGTTAATGACCAGGTGATAGCGGCCATATCTGTAAGCGGCAGTCCGCACGTAATGTGCGTGATATGATTAAATGCCGTTTTGAATAGATCACTGTCTCTGTTTGTACTTATCCTGCATTCAGGGACAGAGATCTATTGCAAACTGCATTTAATCATATTGTATGATAATAATATATGCTGTAGTTCAGGCACCAGCAGGGGTGCGGGTTGGGGAGGCCCTCTACAAATGTTTGCTATGGGGCCCAATGATTTCTAGTTACGCCCCTGCCTGATGGTATGGCATAATGGATAAGTATCTGCTTGAATTTTTCAGCACTGAAGACACCATTGATCCTGACCAAACCTCCAACACCATTGGCAGAAATGCAGGGCCAGACATGTAAGGGACCTCCACCATGCTTCACTGTTGCTGCAGACACTCATTATTATACCGCTCTCCAGCCCTCCGGTGAACAAACTGCCGCCTGCTACAGCCAAATATTTCAAATTTGGACTCATCAGTCCAGAGCACCTGCTGCCATTTTTTTGCACCCCAGTTCCTATTTTTTCATGCATAGGTAAATTGCTTAGCCTTGTTTCCACGCCAGAGGTATGGCTTTTTGGCCGCAAGCCCTAGCCAAGTTCCCAGCCAAAACTTGGCAAGGAAGGGTTTGAACCTGTGTCAGGTTTAAAATGTTGCCTGTGTTCCTGTTACAAACATTTCTTCTTATCTTCTGTTCTGACTCTTATCATCTGGATAAGAAACAAGTGATACATTTCCCAGTGGAGACACAAACAGCATTACACATTTTTTTATTTTAGTTATTATTAGAGTAGGAAAGGGTCACTTTCCTACTCTAATAATAAAAAGAAAGTTTTCATGTTTCACATGGGGAGATTTCTTCTCACTTCCTCTTCTGTCTGACAAATCCATTAAATAGACAAGAGACATGTTGACCACAGGAACATAGACAGCAATAGAGACCTGACACAAGTTCGAACCTTTCCTCACTCTATCAGAAAAAAAAAAGTCTATGCAGGAGTTGACTTTTACATGCTCTATTATGATTATTAGTAAGACGCCAAAAGATCTAAATGAGCTATTAAAGTCTCAGAAACATATCATAAAAAGTTTACCTTAAAATACTCCATAAGCGATCTGGAATATTTCATAGCATGGTCCTTCTTTAATTTAAACATTCTCAAGTAGAGCAGAGATAGGCATCTGTAGCTGTAGTAATTAGAAAAGGATTATGTTAATTTCGTTATACAAAATCTATAAACTGTGCAAAAATTGGCTTCTTAAACATTTTCCCTCGTAAAAGAAAAAAGTGGAAGACATGAGTAAATGAAATCAAAATGGAAAAGACATTAAAATGCCATCTTGATAACAATATGAATCGGAAGAATAAATGTTTAGTCAGCTGCTAAAAGAAGCCATTAGTTATCCTTTAATAGTTTAATGGAAAACAAGAATAATGATCTTATGTAAGCCGCTTATGCCTTTCTGTAGTTTTAAAGTCTTCAAGTGGATTTTAGCTTCTTTGACATTGTCTCTGTGGACTCACCATAATACAGCTAGCTTTTTCTCTCCTTCATTGGCAGCAGAGCCTGTGAAATTCTTCAGTCTCATTGCATACCTGTAAAAAAAAAAATAGTGTATTAATGAGAGTCAACAATTTTTTTTTATTCAAGCAAAGATGACCAAAATATATTTTTTTTTGCAGCTTTGCTCATAAAACACATGCATACTACAACTTCTCCCAGGCACTGCAGTACCATGATATGCATTTTTATTTTGCTAGCTCTGTTCATGGTGGGGTCAAGCAAAGTATTAATTAATTCAAAATTATTTTTATACTGGGATGGCATAACATATAACAAACTTGGTAGTCAGCTAACATGCTAAAATGTATAAACTTACAAATTTCAAAACTACATCTAACCAAAACAAAATACAAAGACCAGTGAATGTAAAGCCATTTTTTTAGTTTTGGATGAAGTGTGGAAAGGTTAGAACCTCTATCTTCACTAGCGAGATTTACCATAACTATTGGTCCTAGTGATCATCGTCTATGGTCAAGAAATGATGGTAAATCCCACATTTTTGACTTGTCATAGGAACCAGGGGTGATGAGAAATCATCTAATAGGGAAAACCTGTGCTGGTGACAGATCTAAGAGGTGAAATCCCCTTGTTTCGTTGTGTCTCTGGCACAGAAATTGAAGGGAATCTCACCCATGGAACAAAGATAGAAAACATAAGCTGGCAGGATGATCTTGCCCTTCCCTACACTATACAAAAAAATGGCTTCATATACACATAAAGGTATGTCAAGGTGTTATTAGAGAAAACAGTTTATTATCCTATTTTTATTTTGCACTAATGGCCAAAAGAAGTTGATTGGTACATTTTACTTGTGGCAATAATATAACATTTATAATTATTTATTGTTTGTAAATGTCTGTCTGTGTAACAACACTTCTCTGAAGCACACAAAAATTTAAAGAATTGGATAGAAATGTAGAACTAGCTATTGCTGCCTTTTTTTCAATAAGCACAGGCCATGGGAGTATATTTTTGATTTAGGCATTACTATCTAGTGATTCACTGACCTGGAACAAGCATGCTGGACAAATGGTTAAGATTTTATTGACTGTATGCTTGTTTCGGTGAGTGACTCAGTATGCAGTGAGGCCAGGATCAGGACGATGGCTCTTAAGCATGAACATTTTAAAAATATCAGTATTGTTAGATGTCATACTGCAATCCTCAAAGATTCATTTTAAAATATGTCATCCTCCAATTTGATTCGTTAGTACTGCTTTGTTAGCTGAGAAGGTACACCACAAAAACAAATGCTATAAAAATGGGAAAAAATATTGTTTACCTATTTTACACAATGCCCTGTAGAATCTAGTGTGGCACCATGTTACAAACAAAATGTCAGTCTCTAACAAATTCCCTTTTATGTTATCCATGCCTTTAAGTGTGCCTGTGGCAGGTGTTGGAATTTAGAAAGGCAAAATCACCCGCCACTCTGTCATGCAGTTACCCGAAGGCAAGTACAGGAAGGACACGGAATCTCCAGAGGGCCTTTGCTGTTAAAATGACTTGTTCGTATTATTCATCTTACTTTGCTACTTTGCAATATAATGTATAAATAATAATGGAACATAGATGGATATTTCATTTAACTAAAAACGAAGTAATAATCTAGTTATATTGAGATTTATTCCCGAAGTTGTTTTGAATTCGGGAATAAATCTATTAACATTCTATGAGGAAGTCAGTATTAATTTAGATAGAGGAATACCAGTAGACGTGGTGTATCTTGACTTTGCTAAAGCATTCGATACAGTCCCCCAAAAATGTTTAATTCATAAACTAAGGTCTATGGGTTTGGATGAAATTGTATACACATGGGTGAAAAACTGGCTGCATGAACGGATCCAGAGGGTAGTAATGAATAGATAATTTTTAAACTGGGCAAAAGGTGTGAGTGGGGTGCCCCAGGGATCAGTCTTGGGACCGATCATGTTTTTTTTCTTCATAACAACAAAGAGAATGGTACAAATAGTTCAATCCCAGTTTTTGCAGATGATACCAAACTGTGTAGGGCAGTAAATTCTCAAGAAGACATAAACTCGATTCAAAAGGACCTAGATAAAATTGAGGAGTAGGCTGCAAGATGGTAGATGCAATTTAATATCGAAAAATGTAAGGATATACACATGGGAGCAAAGAACATGTGTGCAAACTACTACCATGGGGTGTGCACCACTGGGGAAGTTAGAGAGAAGGACCTGGGGGGGGGCTCATAGAGCACAGATTTGGCATTAGCATGCAGTGCCAAGCAACAGCTAGCAAAGCAAACAGGATATTACCTGGCATTAAAAGAAGAATTTTGGCAAGGGATAAAAACATAATGTTACCACTTTATAAATCACTGGTTTGGCTTCACCTTGAATATGCGTTTCAGTTTTGGTCGCCAACTCTCAGGAAATATGTTCCTGAACTTGAGAGAGTTCAGAGAAGGGCTACAAAATTAATAAAGGGGATGGAAGGCCTGAGCTGTGAAGATCGCCTTAAGAAATTACATTTGTTCGCTTAGAAAAGAGGCCCTTGAGGGGGGACCTAATTTTTAAAATCATAAATGGGGACAACAATATTCGGAATAGGATGTTTACACCAAGAACTATACTAATGACACGAGGACACAGCAAGAGATTAGAAGAGAGGAGGTTTTTAGCTCAGACTTTGCAGGGTTTTTTTTTACTGTGCAAATGGTAAAAATGTGGAATTCTCTTCCACAGTCAGTAGTATCGGCTGATAGCATTGACAGATCGAAGAAACATTTAGATGAGTTTCTTGACTTCTTAAATATACAGGGATATGGGAACTTCTAGAGCCAAGCATATACACACATACACACATACACACATATACATAGGTTAAACTGGATGGCCTGTGTCTTTATTCAACCTTACCTACTATGTTACTTGAAATGAAGTAAAGAAGTTAAATTAAAATAATCTTTCTTTGCTTCATAGTGGGCATTTTAAGGCTTAATTTCTTTGGTTGTAAGATACAGGAAATGGCAGTCATTTTTTACCAATAAAAGGTAAGACTATATTTGGACTGGTGCCTAGCCATATTATTGTGCATATACTTTTGGAAGCACTATAGAAAGCAGTAATTAAATCCTTATTGCAAAATGGCCATTTGCATGCCCATGGTACAATGTTTCTCATAGATTTGCACAAGAAGAACACTATTTTCAGATAAGCAAAAGGGAAACACAACATTGTTTTAAATAAGATTAAAGCAATACAAAAAAATCTTCTTTTCACTACCTTAAAAAAAATCTGAAAAGGATTTTTATAAATTCATAAACGCAAATCACAAATGACACAACTATGCTTTCACTTTAAATAGGCTTGCCTTCTCATTTTTTTTTTACTGTTCAATAGGCATCTTCTGGTTATTGTCAGCTTCGTGTCACTTATTAATTAGAGTAACCATATGTTTTAGTGCACTGTTCAATCCATTTGGCTAACCAAGCACACTTCTCGGTATGCACTTAGTGCCTGGGAAATCAATTCATCACATCTGATCAGTGGTTCACAGGCCTAATGTGATTTCACAGGCACTCGTGTTGGAATAAGTAATAGGTCTGAGTCTTGCATAAGAAGACTTTAAGATGTCCCGACAGGTTCATTTAAAAAAGAAAGACAGAACAAGAACATTTACAGAGTTTGGCTTAAGGATGTCCTCATTCAAATGAGCTCTCCAAACCATCAGTGGTATTGGCAATTCTGTCCCACTGAGTTGGAATGTGAATGTTTATCAACCTTCTATATACAGACATTTGAGAATTTACTAGATAACATCAGACTCAAGGACAACTCCATTCGATCAACAAAATATTTTCTATAGTTTCTAACAACAGAGCTGTTTAGATCTATAAATACAACCCATGAACAATTCCTCTGTGAATAAGCCATTTAGTGAAACATGTTAGAGGAGCCTCTGTGTGTTTACAGCATGTTTTGACTTTGGGAATAAATAGTAGTATCCAGCTTGTGATATCAGTTGTTTGTGTGGCATTTGTTTCTGTGAGAGCCATGAACAATTTTTTCTCAGACTGGAGGGGCTACTAAATGTGCAAATTAGCTGATACGTGTAATCATACACCCAGAATAATGCGTTGCCTGTGCTGGAAGTGACCACACACCGGTCCTGATGTTTTTACTTCTTCAGCATGTGTCTCGCTAATTGATCCAAGGGGATCCCATAAGTAGAGTATTTATTTTTCCAATCTGCCTTTTATATCATACTTCCTTTTTTTATAAGGAACCTTCAGTAACTTTACAAGTTTATAAGAACACATTCCTAACATGTCACAATATACAGCATATGTATATATATTTTTTCATCATTAAAAATCAGTACTTGAGCCCAACATTTTCAGAATGACTCATTCAAATGATTCCTAACAGTGTATGGTCAGCCTCAGTCTGTCATCAGTCCACTACAGGCAGGAAGAAGCATTTCCTTGATCTCCACTTCCCAAGTGGTCAAACTGCAACATTGTAGGTCTGTAGAATGCATGCTAGGCCTATGTTGACCACCTGTGGAGCAGCCACTGCACATATACAACTGGTCTGCAGCCCCTTTGTTCTAGGAAATGCACCTGTACATCCTCTCATGTCTGCCTGAGTGCCTCCACTCTCATAAGACAGTGGAGAGCAGCGGCTTCTGGCAGAGAACCAGCTCTGTGCCTTGTTTTCACAGTGATTTTTTATCACCGCTATCACATGGCACTGTTTACATTGCCAAGCCCTCCCCTTCCTCTTGCAACAGAGGCAGACAAGTGTACAGGTACTATTGAATGGATGAATAATTCATTAATAAGTTCCTGGTGAAAAAAAGCTGCAGCAGCAGCTGCAAGATATAAAGTATAATAACTATTTGTACCCTTTGAACCCCACTCAAAACCATTTCCTGTATATGTCAACTCCATTCTATTTCTGAACTAACCTATATTTTAAACCCTTCACTTCCCTTATCCTGCACATCTGTACAATAATTCCTTCATCATCGTTCTCCCACTGTATGTGACTTGTACATTAACCCC